ATATTGAGAAGTACAAGGGATAGGTGAAAGTGGAGAGCCATGATCGCCTACGTCCTGAAGGGACACGGCACATTAAAGAAGAAGAAAAGAAGCAATACATAATCAATAGTACGTATAATTACGTCTTATTGATTATGCAAAAGCATTTGATATAGTATGTCACAAAGAAGTGTTGGAACTCCTAAATAACACCTAAATACTTGGAAAACATATTAGAATAAGCCAGAACCTATATTGGATGAAAACTGTCTGCATACGGATAGAACATGAATTCAATAAATATACATACATAGAAAGTGTGTAAGACAATGATGGGTCTTCTTGCCGGAATTATTCAATCTATGCAATGGCAACTATACAAACTATACGATGTGCGTTGGGGTGAAATGGATATCAGCTAGGAATGAGAACTCGGCGAGCCGAATTCGAATCCCAGTCGACTTTGTTAGATTCACTTACGTAAAAATACCCTTGTATGATTCCATCTATTCTTCTCCTAGCTATGGGTTAAATAGCAGGACAGACTGGGTTCTTTAGCCTTGGTTCACAACCATTCTACCGCAGAAAGAAATGACATCCTACTGTGGGAAAAAAAAAATTTCGTCAGTCTTATATCGAAAGATACATGATCGCCCAAGCGTGTATCACGCATGGAACTTAACTGACTGACAATGAGGCGATACTGAGAGGATTAGATGGTCTAACAGGATTTGTTATTGATGGTCACAATCTTAACACCGTAAGATATACAGATGACACAGTGCTGATAGCAGAAACCGAAAGGAAACTACACTCTTACAGAATTTAGTGAACGAAAGCGAGAATAAAGGATTAAGCATCAATTGCAAGAAGACAGAATTAATGTCGGTTAGCAATAATAATAAACAGGGCAATATGCAAATTAAAATTGGAGATAACGAAATGAAACAATACAACAATTTAAATATCTGGGAAGTGTTTTAACAGAGAACGGAATCAGCAGCATTGAAATCCGAATGTTCATTGAGATAGCGAAAGGTAACTTCCAGAAGCTAAGCGGATTATTAAGAAACAGACAAACCTCACAACAAACAAAGAAATGAGTACGGAACTATTACATGATATCTTTCCTACTATATGGCAGTGAATTATGGACAATCCCATCAAAGATAGACTTCAAGCAACAGAACTATGCTTCTACAGAAGGATTGCTGACTATACCATGGACCGAATATGTGAGCAACGGCGAAGTTTTATAATAGATGGAAACCAGAAAGAAATTTATACTTAGCATTAGGAAGAGATGGTTTAAATGTCAAGGGCACATAATGAGAAAAGAGGGCGTGGAAAATTTGACACTCACAGGATATGATGAAGGCAAACTGGATAGAGGTAAAAAAAGAATAACCAATATTGTGTAAACTGATGTCAGAACAGGTTTTAGGAGACATAACACAACAGAAATTTTAATAAGAGCTATAAAGGCAAGGAAATTGAGGAGAAACATGACCGTAAACGGGATTTTATATTGTTGATAGCTTTGTCTCTGTAATGTGTTCCTTCTCCTTTCTACTGGACCAGAATATATTATTATAAACAAAATAATGTATACTTGCAGATAGTCAGAGAATACTTGTATCTATAACAACATCTATACTTATCAAGATGAAGACATGTTTTAAAATAAATTTTCCTTATGTTGCTTATATTTCCTTATGTTCATATATTCCTTAGCAAACAGTAGCAACTATTTTGGGACGGAGAAAAAGTAGAACTAGAGAAGAAAGGATTCCTCATATATTTTATGATGACAAACTGTTTGATATATTCCATTATTTCTTCTTTTTTTCTACGAATTCTTTCTTTCCTTCTTTCTTTCTTTCTTTCTTTCTTTCTTTCTTTCTTTCTACGCATTCCATCGTTCATTCTACGAATTCTTTTTTTCTAAAATATGTATGTTTTTCTTTCTTTTTTTCTGGGCATTCTTTCTTTCTTTCTAAATATGTGTATGTTTTTCTTTCTTTCTTTCTTTCTTTATTTATTTTCATGGATTCTTTCTTTCTTTCTTTCCGCGCTTTTTTTCTTTATTTTCACGCATTCATTTTTCTTTTTTCTTTCTTTCTTTCTTTCTTTCTTTCTTTCTTTCTTTCTTTCTACGGATTCTTTCTTTCCACGCTTCCTTTATTTCCACTCATTCTTTCTTTATTTCCACGCGTTCTTTCTTTCTTTCTTTCTTTCTTTCTTTCTTTCTTTCTTTCTTTCTTTCTTTCTACGGATTCTTTCTTTCCACGCTTCCTTTATTTCCACTCATTCTTTCTTTATTTCCACGCGTTCTTTCTTTTTTCTTTTTTTTTCTTTCTTTCTTTCGTTTCTTTCATTCTTTCTTTCTTTCTTTCCACGTTTCTTTCTTTCCACATTTCTTTTCTTTTTCTTTTTCTTTCCTTTCTTTCTTTCTTTCTTTCATTTTTCCACTTTCTTTCTTTCTTTCTATCTTTTTTCACTTTCCAGATTTCTTTTTTTTTTCCACACATTTCTTTTTCTTTTCACAGATTCTTTTTGTTTTTCTTTCTTTTTCTTTCTTTCTTTCTTTCTTTCTTTCTTTCTTTCTTTCTTTCTTTCTTTCTTTCTTTTCACTTTGCTATCTTAGTGCCTACACTGGTGCAAAGATTTAAAATCTTGGATAGCTGACCCATTCTTTATTGTTATGCATTTTGTTCGCGCTGGATTGCCTTGTGCCAGACTAGGTTTAGTCAAGAGCTGTTACGGCATTCCTTTTAATTCTGTACTTTTAGAATTCTCACTCGCCCGCTTTCTCAGTTTCCTTGTCAATTTCTTCTCATTCTCGATAAACTCCTCGATTTTTATATAAAGACACATTCCGACATTTTCTTTATCTTAACAGAAACGAGGTATGCCTTTCTTCTGGAATAAATAAACAAACAAACACTTCGGAATATTATCATCTCTCTATCTCCATTGCATTCTTTCTTTCCGGAATTTTGTCCAGAGGTGTCAATCTTGGAACACTCGCAGAGAAAAAGGCTTTGTCTGCAAGGAAAAGAAACCTAAAAACTAAAACTGTGAATGGAAAATAATTAAGAAAATGCAAAAAGAACGAATCAGAATTGCATCGTCTGCTTCTTTCAATTTCTTGTCGCATTTTTTAAAGAAAAAAAAAGAAGAAAACTTAAGAATTTTTGGTTATCTAAAACATTTTCATTTTTCTTCCCAAGACTTTTTGAAAGATTCTCAAAATTCCTTTTTCTTAACAGATATTTTTATTTTCAGTTCATTTCCCTTTGCAAAAGACACCTTTACTTCATACTGTCGAAACTAATGTTTTTTGTTATATTCTTTGTTTTTATAAATATTTACGACAAAAGGTCGAAGAGAACGAGAACTTTTAGTATCCAAAACCCTTTTAAATAGCAACAACTCAGAAAGTAAAATATATTCAAATATTCATTGACGTCCATATTATTTATCATACGAAATACGTAATTGGATAACGAAAGATGCCTTCCAAATGCTAAGTAAACTATTAAGAAATAAGAAAATATTGTTAGAAACAAAGAAGAAATATAGCAGTTAATGATAAATATAACCTTTACTTCTATCCTAATTGTTTTGTCTCTCGTAATTAAACTTGTGGAATTCTCTTCAGGCTTTCTGCTTTCTAATCAACTTTGGTTTTAAAATTTAAATCCAATATTAATCATTATTTCATGACTTCTTAGTTCCTGTTCTTTCATTGTTCTCTCTCCTTGATAATATTTTCATTTTTCTTATATTCTTACAAACAGTAAACATTTCTGTCTTAGTGGCTTTACTGCCTTGATTAAAAATAAATGTTAGACAATCTAATCACCGATGACGTAGAGAAGACATGGAACAAAAGAAATATGGATGCTGAGGATACCATGGATTAATATGTGAGTAACGACAGTTGGAATTTCTTGAGTATATTATGAGGAAAGTGGAAAGATTTGGCAACAAGTCTCGGAGAACATTTTTTTTTAATTCCAAACCTATTTCGCATGGGGCGAGAAACCCCATCTGGAGAAACCTACTTGTTAAGGAAATCGCAGTAGCAACGCCATTATTCCGAGTTTCATGTCATTTGCGATCTTCAGTCGATTACGGAAATATACTGGTAACACACACACACACACAGTGTTAATGGTAGGTACATGAATACCCATCTATATTGAACCATTTCGAAGTGTTGTTTCTTTTTATTATTTGCTGTCCTCCATCTCCGATTTTGATTTTTATTAAACTCACTCATTTATTTCTTCTTTCTTTTTCTATTTTCGTCATATTTTCTTTACTTCTCTCCGCGTATTTTTTGTATTTTTCTTTCTCTTTCTTCTTCTACGATTTCTATTTCTTTTTTTAGCGCCTATTTTTTCTCTTTTTTTCTTTTCTCTCTTTTTCTTTTTCTTCTATTTTCTCTTTTTCTTTCTTTTTCTTCTATTTTCTCTTTTTCTTTCTTTTTCTTCTATTTCTCATTTCTTTCTTTTTCTTCTATTTTCTCTTTTTCTTTCTTTTTCTTCTATTTTCTCTTTTTCTTTCTTTTTCTCTTTTTCTTTCTTTTTCTTCTATTTTCTCTTTTTCTTTCTTTTTCTTCTATTTTCTACATTTTTCTTTTTCTTCTATTTCTCTTTTCTTTTCTCTTTTTCTTTCTTTTTTCTACATTGTTTAATTACATTCTTTCTAATTTTCATTTTGTTACTCCTTTCTTGCTTCCTTCCGTTCTTTCTCTAATCCTTTATTTTTCTTTGCTTGCATTCATTGGATTCATTATTTTTGTTCAATATCGTTTTTGTTTCTTTCCATTCCTTTCTCTCTCAGATTTTAATTATTTCATTCATACATTTCTTTTTATGATATTAATGTTTGCACCTAATTACTTTGATCATCTTTATTATTTTTTACACCTGTCAAACTTTTTCATTTTGCACCTTCACTTAAATTTCTTTCGTTGTTTCTAGTCCACGCTTTTGATATATTTTCTTCATATGTGTTTACATTTTCTTTCTTTCTTTCTTTTTTCTTTCTTCCTTCACTTTACGTGCTTCCTTCTTTTTTTTCTTTCTTTGCTAGATCGAGTACATATTTATCGATCTGTCCAGTGTTTCTTCCGTTCTTTCTTTTTTTATTGCTTTGTGATCATTAATTTTATGTAAATTTGTTTTTCTTTTTTATTTCTTTCTTTCTTCCTTTTCTTCTTTTTTACCTTCTTTTTTCTTCATTTATTTATTTTATTTTTTATTATTTTCCCTTATTTTTTTTTACTTTTAAGCTTTTTTCTTTCTATCTTTTATATTGTTCACATGTGTCCTTCATTCTTTCCTTCCTTCCATCTTTCCTTCCTCCCTTCACTCATTCATTTTTCTTTCTTTCTTTTTATTTCTTTTTCGCGTTTGATCTTTATTTTGTTCATATCTGTTTACTTTTTCTTTCTTTCTTTCTTTTTTCTCTTTCTTTCTTTCGAAAGAAAAAGAAAAAGAAAGAAAGAGAAAAAAGAAAGAAAGAAAGAAAAAACTTTCTTTCTTTCTTTTTTCTCTTTCTTTCTTTTTTCTTTCTTTCTTTCTTTCTTTCTTTCTTTCTTTCTTTCTTTGAAACCTTTAATTTTATTCAGATTTGTTTTCCTTTTTTATTCTTTCTTTGCTCTTTCATTACCTGCTTTTTTCTTCATTTCTTCTTTCATCTTATGTTTTTCTTTCACCGATATTTATTTTTCTTAAACTCACTTTATATTCTAGCATCTTATTTAAAAAAAAAAAATCTTTCTCTTTAATCTTTTCTGTCTTGCTACGCCCCGCCTTTTGGGTTTTCCCTCATCGCAGCCGGAATTCAAATGATTGCCCGTTCATTCTCCCACCTTTATATTTCTTTTCGTTTCAACTTTTATTTCGACTTTTCATAAAACCATCACTATTTTCTTTTTCATCGTCCTTCCACCCTTATTTCAACTTTTTAATGAAACCTTTTGAGTACTTTGCCCTTTCGTTCCCACGCCATCTTCTAATTTCGATACTTGATTTTATATATTTTTTTTTACAAACCTCCTACGTTTTACCGCGATTTTTCCCGTCCTCAAATTTCAACTTTTTCATCCCACCGTCCACACCTTCGATGATTTTATTTGAAAAACAAAAGGACAAACAAACAAAAAAAATCTTTCAAATTCTTTTATTTTTGTTTTAATTGTTTTGCTTTCACTCTAGGGTTTCTTGTTTTGAAAATGTTCTCTGTTTGTCGGGAAGGAGAAAATCAAGAATTGTCGGAAGGAAACGGACAAAGAAGAGCAAAGACCTGCGCAAAAAAAAAAAAAAAAATTAACTAGAACAAATATACACACAAAAAAAGCAAAATTTAAAAATAAAAATTGTTTCAGTCTTTATTCTGACTCGATCCTAACCCAGTCCACCACAAACACTTTCTTTTCGGGCAAATAAGAACAAATAGAATTTCAAATAAAATCTTATTAGCCTCAGTCAATTATGGCGAGTGGCTATGTGTGTAACAGCATTTTACCGCTAACGAATACGTTAATAAAAATTGTTATTTTAGGAGTCGTTTTCCTTAATTTTATGACACGTCATCTCCTCTCGGATAATTATTAATAATAATAATATAACATAATCACGATAACATATGGGATTATCTACGTGACTCGAAATGCAGATTTGTCACACAGGTCGTTGTTTCAAAGTGGGCCAAGTTGCCATGTTAGTCTAAACGGGTGTTATTGTCACCGTCTCTGTCTCCTATCGAAAATTAAATCAGCCGTTTTCTCATCAGGAGAAAGGTTGTTTTGTAGTAATGTTAATAGCACAATGCATTTGGTTTGTATTGGCTACTTATGTTGTCCCCAGGATAGGAATTTTCCCAAATACTTATCAGTGACAGAGAGGAAGAAGAAAGTGATGGAGACTTTCCAATCCTAGCAGTCGTATACACAGGTGTTCCTAAGAGGCAAATAATCTAACTGAACACTTTGTTTTTTAGCATAACATCTTGAGATTATTATTGTTCACATCTGTTTAACTTTTTCATTTCTCGTCCTTCCTTCCTTCCTTCACTCATTCATTTTTCTTTCTTTCTTTGTTTTCCTTTCTCGCTTTTGATCTTTATTTTGTTCATATCTGTTTACATTTTCTTTCTTTCTTTCTTTCTTTCTTTCTTTCTTTCTTAATTGCTGCTTCATGGTCCAATGAAAAAGTACTGCCACATTCTTACTTTTTGCGGGATTTGAACCTATCAAATATATCGTATTTTAGAAATACAATAATTTCCAATTGCCTGAGTGTATTTTTGTTTATAGTCAGATCTTCCTTTCTTCATAATTTTAAATTGTTCTCCTGTATTTTGCACAAACACTGTTACAATAACAAATATAATTGCTACCTGTCAATGAGTTTTACAGCTTTACTTATTTATTTACTCGAATAGGTAATTATTCGGGGACTGATTTCTCACAATAGAAATACAAACAGGCATTTCCTTTTATTTGTATAGATTATTACAATCTGTAAGAGACGTAACCACGCATTAAATTACCACTAACAATCGAATTATCTCCCTTATAACTATATTTTTACGCTGGAAGAAATATTTAACTTACATGAAATATTGATTTTTTTACTTTAGTTTGGACATCTCTTCAGGTACAACACATTTCAATTTTGTATAACCTGTGACAATCCTTGCGACATAGCTTCTATGCCTGTTAAGTTTTGTTAAAATTCATCTAGTAGTTTCTTAGTCTATTGGACAAACACATAGACATTTTATTTCATGTGTATGTATTTATTTGCAGTTAGATTACGAGATGTTTTGTCAAGGTGAATGATAAAGTCATAGAATACAAAGGAAAATAGGCTCATGCCTCTTCACTAATACAAAATTTATTTCCAATGGCCGCAAAGTGACAATGTGTTTTCAGCGATGGGCATTAATTGCTACGTCAGAGGATCTATCAAGGGTCTCAATCCGAATTCGATCAAAAGTCGTTGATTTTCACTCCCCGCCATGTAAATAGTAAAACAAATGCCATTACTATAAACAGATAGCTTTAAATGACTGAATACATGATTATCAGCAGAAGAGACACCGTTGAGTACGATCTATATGCCTGCTACGTCAAATTCAACTATTTATTAAACAGAGAGGAATACCTTTCAACATATCGGTCAGAGCTCTTGTCTAGACAACGACAAGTTTCAATGTAAATCCCAGGAAATTACAGTCATGGAGACCTGAATCCCAAAATAGGCAAGAAGAAAAATAATGAAATAGTTGGCAAATTTGGACTAGGAACTGATAATGAACGCTGAGGAAAATGGGTCCAGTGGTGTACGGACAAAGAAAGACAGTAAGCAGCACTTGGTTTCAAGAAAAACGAAGACGTATATGGACATGGAGAAGCCCAGGAGGAGAAACAAACAAACACATTGTTATGGTAAATTACCCATACGCGGATGGACTCTTCCAAGTTACAAATAAAAGCAGGTACTGCTTTTTGTCTGTAGAGGGTTCTCCCCCCCCCCACAGTCAGCTCTGACAGTTCGGACTTAACATTCATAATCGTTTGTATATTTTTGTATTACCGATTTTCGTTAATATATTTGTTAAGTAAAATATAGGCTTGTGTCTTTATACCAACACAAATAAACAAAAACAAACGAACAAATCGACTACATAATTATCAACAAGAGTTTCAGGAATGCACTTTTGCACTGCAAAACATACCCAACTGCCGACTGTGGAAGCGACCACTGTCCAGTGATATGTAAACTTAGAATGAAACTACGGAAATTGAAGAGGCCCATGACAGCACCCAAATTGCAATACAACAAACATAATCACGAATCTGAAGAACTATATTGTTGAAGCTTGGATAATCATGGAATAATAATAATACAACACAAAATGTACGTAAACAAAATTTATTGAAACAAGGAAAAGGTACACAATATTTACAGTTAGTTTTGGTATATTCTTGGGAAGACTGTTCCTGTAGAATGGGTTGACTTAATCGCAGTCGGGCAGAGTCTCTGGATGGGATCTCTTGTTACTTCCCTCGTCTTCCCGGTACCAACCCATATTTATATGGTCGGTACTCCACTATGTAAATTAGGTGGATCGTACCACAACATATATGTACGGTGGGAAAAGCAGATATGAGAGACAAAATGAAAATGGAACCTCGAAGTGTGACTAACACATTAAGAGAAGCTTTAGTAATCTCAGCAATCGAGATTATCCCAAAGGAAAATAGTCGAAACGAAAAAAAAAAAAAATAAATAAAATGGATGACATTCTCGACATGATGAAAAAGAATACAATAAATGCCGAGACACGGATTAGAATATAGGACACTGCACAAAGAAATCAGGAACAAATGCAGGCAGGCTAAAGAGGAATGACTCAACGAAAAATGCACAGAAATAGAAAGAATGAGTATCATAGATAAAGCAGATATGCTTAAAAATAAGAGATCTAACAGGAGAAAAGACATAATCATCAACAGGCTGCATAAAATCCAAGAACGCAAGGACGATATTAGAGAAAGAAAAAAATACTTCAGAGATGGAGAGAATATTTCGGATCAGACTTCCAGAATGAAATAGAAAAACTGGCAATTCACAGAATTACCGACGGACAGGAAATACTAAAATCTGAAGTGGAATCTGCACAGAGCAAAACAAAGCAACAGTGCCAGGCGGAATAGTAAAAGAAATGCTGGCAGTCTTTGGTAATTTCGACATATAAATGATTCAGTCAATTAAGTGGTACAAGTGATACACGCTTGAACGATCATGTATCATTCGATACATGACTGACAGGACGAAGATTTTTCCCGCAGTAGGTTGCCATTTCTTTATGTGGCAGAATGGTTGCTAACCAAGGCTAAAGAACCTAATCTGTCCTGCTATTCTACTCATAGCCGGAGGAGAAGAGATGGATTCATACCTTTCTGAAGGGTTATTTGTGCGTAAGCGAATATAACGAACTCGACTGATAAGATTACAGAAAATAAAAAAGTGAAATCTACAACAGTGGTGAAATACCGGAAGAACTAAGTAGTATATTTTAATAGCGCTATATAAGGAGCGGAGTAAAAAAGATTGTGAACTCTATCAGGTTAATGAGCCATACAACAAAACTCAACCTCCAAATTCTGATGTGTATATTGCGCGGTAGAATCAGACCAGAAATAAGAAAAGACCAGTGCTTGTTTGTCATAAACACTGGAACAAGGAAAGTGATATTTATACTCAGAATGTTATCAGAAAGACCAATACAAATGCAGAAGGACGTGTAACTGTGTTTTTTTTTTAGATTATGAAAAGGCGATCGTTAAGATACGCCACAAAGTTTATTTGGAACTGCATAGCAAACTTAATGTATTTAGGAAGGATATTAGAATAATTCAGAAACCATACTCAGAGCAAATCACCTGTATACGGATAGAAAATTCAACTTATGTACAAAAATAAGGTGTACGGTAAGGATGTGTCTTCTCGCATGACATATTCAACCTACAGAGCGAAGCGATCTGGGAGAACTAGAAATTCTACCAGAATTCATTATAGACGATCACGATCTTATCAACACGTGATATGCAGATGACACAGTGTTAATAGCAGAAACTACACAAACTCCTACAGAAGGTCATGGAAAAGTGAGAAGAAAGGATTAAATATCAACTATAAGAAGACAGAATACATTGTTGTGAGCCCAAATTCCAAATTCCAAATCGGAGATACCAAAATCAAACAGGTACACAACTTTATATA